CTGATTTTCCCTTTTGAGGCATACATTCACAAAATGTTATTACAAGCTTTTCAGGCAGCATTTGCAATTTTGAGTAATTTCTGCTGTAGTCTGGCTCTGACTACTTAACCTTGAATCCTAAGCAGTAGAGAGTGATCCAGAAAATTCTTCCATCTGTTCTATGATTGTTTTTTCAGCTCTGATTAAGTAATCCATATTTAGAGGTTATCCCACTTAAAAACAAAAACAAAAACAGATATATCTTCTTTGTTTGCATTGAAATCATGCAGACATTGAATAAAGAAGAAGACTTTTAAACCTAATTTCTTAATCAGCAAAAGGCCAACTTGTCTGAAATTTTTCAGAGCAATGCTCAATTGCCTGTTTTTTTTTTTTTACTGTTTATAATGAATTACATTGTAAACAGCACTCATATTAATTTTATTATTTTTTCTCAACATTATTTTAAGTACATTTTTTTCCTGAAATATATCTAGCTTTAGGTGATAAATTATTCATGATAAAGTAATACATAATACAATAATACCTACTAATTTAACGTGTCATATTAAGAATATAAATCACAAAAAGCCTGGCACAATGTGCTAGAAATGTTTAAGATGGATCATAGTGTCCTGAGCTGAAATTTTCAGGATACAACAGGAGTACAAATGTGAAAGCTAAATCCATAACTTGGCGGTTTGGATTTTATTTGGATTCTACCACATTTTCTGAGACCAATCAGGTTCATGAACCTGAAGTCACACTTCATCCAAAAACAAAATGAAACTGACATGAAAAACTCCTTTTTTTCCTACTATTTTTCCTTTACTTCTTTTATATTCCTTAGTCTTTTTTGTTCAGTTGCTTTTTCTGTTCCTGACAAGTATTACAAGGTTAGGGTCTAAGATTTGTTCTTCATTTTCTATTTACACTCTCAACCATTTCTTTTATTGAAACCAGCTATGCCTACCTTTAGCAGTTACTGGTTCAGAGTAAAAGCTCCCATCCTGAGCTGAACTCAAACTCATCTCCTTGTGGTTACCTCTTTGGTAGTGTTTTTACTTACTTATCCTAACAGCTCTTCCATCAATCCATTTTAGGTATTGACATCATTCACCAGGTCTAGCTTTGCACTAGATCAATTCTCTAGGGTGCTGCCTCCAATCCCTCTCCCTTCTGTTCAGTATATACCTCAATGACATGCTAATCACGTTTTAAAGTGACTTATGATTAGTCTTTCTCTTAATCAAAAAGTTTTACTAACATGCCTTTGTGGTTCTATGTAAAAACAAATTAAATTAGTTGCAATATTTCTTCCTGAAATAACTTTAAAAAATAGTTTAGGAAAGAAGTGCTTTGACAATATTGGAATGAGGAACATAAAAGACTTGAGCAATCAGATTATTTTTATTTCTCAGTTCTGTGTTGGCCTTTTTCTTCACAATTAAAAGGAACATTTCACTTCTCTGCACTTCGGAAGATGGCAAACATCAGCCCCAGGCTTAGTAATCCCAAACAACAAAGATTTTGTGCCTCCTTTTGATTAGGAGGCACTTCCAATGTTTCTTTTCATCTTTTTTGGGGGCGTGTGAGGAGGTGCGAGGATTGAACCTAGGAGCGCTTAACCACTGAGCCACATTCCCAGCCCTTTTTCATATTTTATTTAGAGACAGGATTTCGCTCAGTTGTTCAGGGTATCACTAAATTGCTAAATTCAAAATCTGTGTGCCACCTGCCTCAGCCTCCCCAGCCGCTAGGATTGCACATATGTACCACTGTCAAGCCAGACACAGTTTTAATTGGTTCTTCTTCTGTTAATTCTTTTGGAAAAATAACTGTTGCCAAATAAATGTGTTAAGTTTTTGATGTCGTTTTCGCCAAGCTTTTTTACATAGGAAAGAAGGATGGGTGGGAAACTTAAGTGTGACTAGGTAGAAGAAACCTCCCTTATCAAGAGACAACAAATAATTATTTTTATTAAGGCCCCCCTCTTCAGGAGATCCTCCTCTTTTTTCAGTGTAACCCCTGGACATTTTTTTTAAAAGTTTATGATTTATAGAATTTGGACTACACAGTAATTCAGGTTATTCTCACTCAAATACCACCTGTGTGACCTTGGGATAGTAATTTAAATATTCTAAGCTTTAGTTTCTAAATATCTAAACCAGAAGATGATAAGTAACCCTACTAGTTATGGTAAATTCTAAATGAAATTGAGTATGTAAAGCACTACCACATAATAAATGCTCAATTAATAATAGCTATTTATCAGTGTGTGGGGATACTGCTTTCCTCATTGCCTCCTCATGTGTCTATTTATAATTTCAAAATGTTGCTAATTCAAAAATTAGAAATGGGGCAGGGATGTGGCTCAGTGCAGTGCACTTTCCTAGCATAGATGCTAGATAACCTGAGATGGATACCTAGTGGTGCATAAATATGAAAAACAAAAATAAAAATGGTATGTCATGAATATGTATATGAATACTGTGAATAATGTCAGATCCATTGCTTTAATTAAATTTACTTATGAAAGGAAACATTATTTCATATATTTATGTCACTTAAATTTTGTTTTCATTGTAGTTTTTTCATGTTCTCTGTTGCCCTGTTTTCTATTGGAAGTTTGGTCTTTTAAATTCTTAGATTTAAAAATACCTGTATATAATATGGTTATTAGTCTTTTACCTGTGATAAATGTTGTAAATATTTCCCCCAGTTTGAGAGTTATCTTGTGACTTTGCTTTTGGATCAAAATAAATTTTTTTACC